CTTGGTTTTTGGGGTCAGGTCCCGCCCCTGTGTTGATTCAAGGTATATGCCTTTGAGGATAGCAGTAGTTGAACGATGGTGGCCGTGATGATGCTCGGCAACAGCTAAGTTTCCTTCAGGGCAGCGCTCCAAAATCCGACACCAAACCTTTGACTTCAACAAATAACGGTTCCTGGTCGTTATCTTTCAAAGCCTAAGTTCGGTCAACAAAGAGCGCTTTCCAACGCTTATCGATGCTTTGCCACATGGCTCCGTCTTATCGAGTCTTGCAACCAGATCCTTCACCGCGAGCGGGTTCGGGAGAACGCCAATGGCCCCAAAAGGCCACAAAGGCCCAAAGGCCAAGACACACCCCCCCCCCCACCCCCCGCCCCCCCACAGCCCCCCCACCCGCCCCCACCGCCCCCCCCCCCCCCCCCCCCCCCCCCCCCCCCCCCCCCCCCCCCCCCCCCCCCCCCCCCCCCCCCCCCCCCCCCCAAAAAAAGAGCCTAAATAGTTGAGAGGGACATGAAAGACAAAGTGAACCTAAAGGGCCCGGACTGTGTTAGGTTCCCCGGAGTTCCTCGGGCTCACCCCCTGAAACCGAGGCTCACAAAAGCCAGCGTCAGCAAAGGCAGCGAGTTGCTGCAGGAGGCAGGGGAGGGGGCAGATTGCGAAAGTTCATCAAGTACCTGAAGCCCCTCATGTTCTCCGAACAAACCCTAAACCCCTAAACCCTGAACCCTGAACCCTGAACCCTAAACCCTAAAGTTCATCAATGCCTGAAACCCCTCATGTTCTCCGAAGAAGCGTGGGTGTTGTTTGGCGTCAGGAGACGGCCCGAACTTACAAGCAAGCCGTAATCCAGGAGCCCAAGCGATAATCATCACTATACAAATTGTCCCGTTATAATCCCCAAATTTCAAATGAAAACTGCGCAACGTACTTTTTTGACCTCGATGGGCCCCATATACTCACGATTCGCGTCGTCCGGTTCTTCAAGACTTCACACCTTGCGGCCTTTCCCTTCAGGGCGAGCGGATCCGCAAGTTCATGCTGCGACGGCTCCTTGACTTATTGGGGAAGTTAGGTTTTCTCAGAGCCGCCTTATTGGAAGTCGGCCACTTTCTGGTTCGAGGTATGCATGTATCCTAAGAAGCACTCAGCAGGTAGTCAGATTTGCGCATGGGGGCGCAGACCCTCAACCCCAAACCCCAAACCCCAAACCCCAAACCGCAAACCCCAAACCCCAAACCGCAAACCCCAAACCCCAAACCCCAAACCCTAAACCCCAAACCCTAAACCCCAAACCCTAAACCCTAAACCCGAAACCCTCAACCCTCAGCCAAGGGGATTCCCTGAGAGCATGAAGCTGGTCTACATGCGGGGCACCGAGAGGAAGGCCCCGGGACTCGGCTCGGGAGAGTCGGATTTAGGTTTAGGGTTTAGGGTTTAGGGTTTAGGGTTTAGGGGTTTAGGGTTTAGGGATAAGTTGGGATGTTCCCCCTTCTTACTAGCAGCTCCTTGATAGGGATAAGTACCTCTTATCAAAATCCCTATTAAGGAGCTGTGAGTATAAGGGCCGAAAGTATCCAAAGACACGGCCAATTTTGAGTTCACACGCCCGTAGAGAAGCCCCCTCCTCCTGTGCAGGTAACCGGATCCAAGATGATCAAAGCGATCATGGGGTGGCATCTGGGCCTGAACAACACTGGCATGGGCTTGAGTGATTGAGGGGTTCGCGGCTGAGTTGGGAACTGAGGCGAGAACCCTGGCAACTCGAAGCCCGGATTCCCGAAAGCCGACCCCCAAACCCCTTGAAAGAAGCCCGCCAAACCCCCTTATTTTCAACAAAGAAGCAAGAACATTCCAGAAGCGAATTCACACGTATTGCGCCCACACGTGTGCGCCGCAGGCTGTCCTGCCACACATGACCTGAAAGAACTGCGGTGGCATCACTCCAAACTTTTTTCTACAAATTCCTAAAGACCTCATGTGACCTGTGTGGCATGGTGGAAGCGCTCCGTGGAAATCCTGTTCGGGCATTTCGCAAACTTGCCAGAGCGTCCCTCCATCAGCACAGCAATAGAATCCCCAGCACCAACGCCAATCAGCAAGCATCTCAGCTTGCGGCGTAATTTTGGGGGTCGGAAGAATTACTAAACTCCTTTATGGTTCCTTTATGTTTATACAATCATGACACCTAAAACCCTATTCTAATTATGAAGGCCCCTATACTACGGTCTTCAATCAAGGTCCCCATCCTAAAATACCGAGCAGGGTTCTATTGAACCCTGGAACAGGCTGTGAGTGCCTGATGGTCTGCACATGACTGAAGGAAGGATTAGTTCAGCAAGGCTGGCTGGTATGGGGGCTTGGGGTTTAAGGATGTGCAGGAGGGGTGCGCAGTGGTACGCGGTGGTGCGCGTGTGCTTCTTCGTGCGCGTGCGTGCGTGCGTGCGTGCGGTAGTAGGGCACCCCATATTCACTGCAAGCGGTCTCAGGTACTGCGAGCGGGACGTTGGACAATCCGAGGGCGCGCCGCGGAGCTGCTGCTCGCTGATGCCACAAAGGGAAGGTCGGAAGAGTTTAGGGTTTTAATCCCAACCCCAGCTTCGCCGTATCCTTAAACAGTATGTTTGTTTAGGGCTCTAGCATGCGGATGCAGGGTCTCTAGGGGTGTAGGGGTGCCCCGAACCCCGAACCCTGAACTTTTCTCCAGCCCCATCTAGGAATTTCACGGGTGTCTTGATGTTTTACACCCTAATCAATCCCTGAGCCTGCCTTTCGACGCCCCCCCCTCCGCTAATGCAGACACGTTTTGCCTCGCTTGTCGTGGCAAGTTTTGCCTAGGTTTCGGGCCAACAGGCACGGTGCAAGTGAGCTTTTTGATTTGCGACCCAATCGGATGCAAGTGCGTACGGGCCGACCAAAAATCGCCAAACCCAACACCTCAACAAACAGCCGTCAAGCGCTGTGAGTCCACCCATGCAAAGGTAGGACATGCAGAGTTCTGTTTTGGGGGTTCAGGCTTCAAGGGTTCTGAAACTCTAAAGCCGAAACCCGGGACCCCAAATGTGGCCTCCGAGGTTACCAGAAGGTCAAACTTGTCAGGGGCCGCGTCATCTGCACAGCCACTTCGGCAGGCGTTTGGTCTTGCCCCTGAGCTCTTTCGTTGGGATGTTGCCCTTTGGGAGGGATGAGGGTTTAGAGGGCCCCAACCTCGAAGCCAAGACATGTTGCACCGAGACTTGTTTGCAGCCTAGAGAAGTTAACCCTAAACCCTAAGCCCTAAGCCCTAAACCCTAAACCCTAAACCCTAAACCCTAAACCCTAAACCCTAAACCCTAAACCCTAAACCCTAAGCCCCAAACCCTAAACCCTAAACCCTAAACCCCAAGCCAAAAAACCCGAAACCCCAGATCAAAACCGATAGCTCAGCAGCCCGTAGTCTGAAAAGGCTTTCGAAAGCCTGTTGAGGCACCCTAAACCCTAAATCCTAAACCCTAAACCCTAAACCCTAAACCCTAAACCCTAAACCCTAAACCCTAAACCCTAAACCCTAAACCCTAAACCCTAAACCCTAAGCCCCCCCGAAGGCCCCCCCGAAAAGGAGTGTCATGTGTTCTTCAGCGAGAAGGGCTTCTGGAAGGTTGGCCGCTTAGACGATGGAAAGGCCCGGTGAAGCTGTGGGGCTAGGGGGGCGCTTATCGGGGGTACAGGTTGATTGTTTTTTTCCTCTCTGGCAGCTTTTAGCATTTTGGTTTTATAATTGTTTTCGAAGGTTGCAGCCGCTCATGGCTCAGGGATGTTTAGAGTTAATCGTGGTAATTGTTTAAGGCCACCCTAAACCCTAAACCCTAAACCCGAAACCCTAAACCCTAAACCCTAAACCCTAAACCCTAAACCCAGGGGCTCAGAGAGACGTGCTGTTCAGGGGTTGCTTTTCCATCGACCAGGCCGGCCTTTCCGTCTGCCACGATGGCAAGAACGAGGCGCTGGGGTTTAGGGTTTAGGGTTTAGGGGTGTTCGGGTTGTTGGGGTTGTCAGGAAAACTCCGGAAACGCAGTCTTTGTGTATGGTCATTCAAACTACTTGCCGAGTACTTGTTGGGGACGCCTTCCGTGGTCAGTGTCTGAAGGTGTGGGTTTCCGGATTGGGTTCAGGGTTTAAGGCATGAATCCAGTGCCGTATATGCGTACAACAGTCCCACAAGCCTGTGACTTGTAGTGTTGTTTTTGCAGGATTCTAGCTGGAATTTCTGCTTGCGACTGCGCGTCTTTCTGCCGTTAATAGGAAAACATCTTTGGGTCGTTCGAGGTACGCAAGGGTAAAACCGTAAAAGCCGTTTCAGAATTCAAGAGCTAGCTCTTTGCGCTTTTTTCTTGGTACGACGGTGGGGGGCGGCCCCAAACCCTACAGCCTCTACCTTAAAGGTGGTTTGAGAGTAGTTGGGTCAAGCCCACTTGTCAGGGTTTACAGGGAGAGGGGGTGGGACAACCGGGTCAGTTCGTCACCTGAGCATTCCTAAACCCTAAACCCTAAACCATAAACCCTAAACCCTAAGTCCTTAACAGCCCTAAATCCTTAACCCATTACGCCCTGCTTTCTTCCAGGTGACGAGCCTGGACCAGACTTGGTTGCTCTACGAGCCCCCGATGGATCCGGAAGAGCAGAGAAACCTCCTCGTGAGAAAAGACGCGCTTCCTGGACCCTGAGGTCTGGCACCAGGCTTCCAACATGTTTCACCAGAGCCGAGCAATGCCGTGGGCATTCGGGTATAAAATCTTTGAGCCCTGCGTGTTAGGAAGGCTCCATTCCACCAGTCGGCCCAAACTATGAGCCATGGCAAGTTTCAATCCATGCCCGTCATATAATATATCCGAGGCTTCCAACCCTTTCCTAAGCACCGAAGCGCCGAACTTGTAGTTGGCGTTCGACCTGACAGCTTCCAAAGCCCTTTGCAGAAGGTTTTTTTCCGCAGCAGCTTGTTTGGCTGAGTACCACGTTTCGTCACCGATATGGCCTCTTTCTCGGAGGAGTTGCGCCAGGCGGCTGGCGATCAATGGAACCGTGTCATTCATCACCGCTGGACCAAAGAGCTGGCAAATGGGACGCTGGACTTGAGAGTCATGAGGTGCCGACCGTTGACCCAAAGGAACCCCCAACAGCCTCCCAAGCCTCCAAAGCCTTCATCATCTCCACCAAGACCCCCAAACCCCAAGCCCCAAACCGTTATCCCGAAAACCGAAGCCCTAAGCCCTAAGCCCTAAATCCTAAACCCTAAACCCTAAACCCTAAAACCTATACCCTAAACCCTAAATCCTAAGCCCTAAGCCCTAAGCCCCAAGCCCTAAACCCTAGCAAAGAGGGTCCTGAAAGAGCTGTGTGTCTTTGAGAGGCGCTACCTGATCCAAGACCACCGGTTCCTTGATGCCTTCGTTGTGCTTCTCTCCAGTATCTTGCCGTAGGTGAGTAGGGAATGAGGGAATTAGGGCCTTATAAAGCTCTTAAGGGATTATATACTTGCATGCTAGTAGGGTTTTTAGGGTTTAGGGTTAAAAAAAAACCCTTTAAGGGATTATATAGGGGGATATAGGGGTACCTCATTCCCTCATTCCCTACGAAGCAACACGAAGGTATGATCGCGCACGCGCAGACCCTGGAGGATCGGATCCCCGGCTGCCAGTTTCTGGCCCTCATCACCGGCAAGGCTGGGAAAGTATATAGAGGGCCCTATAGAATCCCTTAAAGGGTATAGAGGGCCTTGTGTGATCCCTTAAAGGGTATAGAGGGTCCCATATTATGCCTTAAAGGGTATAGAGGGCCTTGTATAATCCCTTAAAGGGTATAGAGGGTCCCATATAATCCCTTAAAGGGTATAGAGGGCTTTAAATCATCCCTTAAAGGGAAAGATACTGACGGTGGTAGACGTTTGGGACGTCTTGCCCCCCTGATAGGGTAGAAAGAGGGCCCTATAGAATCCTTTAAAGGGTATAGAGGGCCCTATATGATCCCTTAAAGGGAAAAATTTGGAGGGCCCTGGATAAGGGAAGGGCCCTGATTCCCTAAACCCTAAACCCTAAACCCTAAACCCTAAACCCTAAACCCTAAACCCTAAACCCTAAACCCTAAACCCCAAACCCTAAACCCCAAACCCAGACTCGCAGAGGAGAACACCTACTTCGAGCGGTGCTTCGAAAAGCTCCCGCGGTGTACTGTGACCGACCGCGCCAAGGTCCCGGATGCGGCATGTACCAAAGGCTTCTAGGACCCAGAAGTAGGCCCTAATTCCTTTTTTTTTTAAAGGTTTAGGGTTTAGGGTTTAGGGTTTAGGGTTTAGGGTTTAGGGTTTAGGGTTTAGGGTTTAGGGTTTAGGGTTCCTTATAAGCCCCTTCTTATGAAAAGGGCGGCCTTTTTATTCCTAGGCTGCTCTTGGGACTAGGCTTCGATCAGCTCATGCGGGACGCGGCCATGAGCGGAAACGTGGGGGAGATGCTGTCGGTGCTGATCGTCTGCGAGTGGTCGTACTTGTCTTGGGCAAAGATCGTTGACGGAGAAGCCAAACGGGAGAACTTCGTGCTCTTTGAGTGGATTGACTTGCACACCTCCCTTGAGGATGTCGTTGCGTACCTGCGAAATCTAGATGAGTGTTCGGGATCCTTTTTACTTCTTGGGTTATGGGCTTTCTTATATATGAACAAAAAGGGGAATCCTTTTCTCTTCCTAGGGGAACAGGGATTAAGGAAAGCTCCTGGACAACGAGGGCGAGCGACTGGACGCGGCGGGCCGGGAGCGGTGCCAAAAGCGGTTTCTTCAAGCCGTCCAGCTGGAAGAGGACTTCTTCGAGAATGCCTTTGCTCTTGAAGATGAGGATGTTTAGGGTTTAGGTTTAGGGTTTAGGGTTTAGGGTTTAGGGTTTAGGAAAGCCCAGAAAACAGAACTCGGTAGCTCTTCGGATCTTGGCGCCCGGCCTGCCCCACTGAGCTGAGCTCGGCCCACACTTTAAGCTGATGTCAGCGTCAGTGCAATCTCCAACGGGAGCTGCGCAGCTTGCAGGTCAATGGAACCGCTCCGCGCCCAAGTGTCATGTGGGTAGTTCTTACTTAAAGGGGGGCTTTTGGGGTGTGGGGTTTCGCTTATGACTTGATTCCCCAAAAGGTAAACCCTAGAACCCTGAAACCCGAAACCCGACAAGTATACACAGCTGCCCAGCTTCTTCCCCTCTTGCTGTGTGGACGGGCACGGCTTCTCCGAGTTCTCACACGCCACAGTGCAAAAAGTGCATTGATTGTGCTGATGTAAGGTATCTTTCGCAAAGTGCGTTAGAATATTGGGTTTGGGCCTCATAGTGACACCCGCTGAAAATTTGCAAGCAACGACTGAGAAAGTACCAGCAGTTCCAAACTGGAGGAGGGCCGCGCCGTGCTCGAAGCTTCTGTCTCCAGTCTCCTCCACTTGGAGGTACTTATAAGCAATTGTAAGTGTAGTCTGAACCCACTTATACAATGCCTATACCTTAAGCCCGAAACCTGTAAACCCTATAGGGTCATAAGCCCCTGAAGTACCCTAATAGGGTTATAATTGGGTTACTAAGTACCATGAACCTCCAAGCAGTGGTACCCGCGAAAGGCATGGCTTCGGGTTTAGCTTTCCATGACCATGGCCCTGAACCTTAGCTAACGCGAGGACACTCACTAGCACCCAGAGTGGGCCCTCATTTTAAGGTTAGGGTTAAGGGTTTAGGGTTTAGGGTTTAGGGTTTAGGGTTTAGGGTTTAGGGTTTAGGGTTTAGGGTTAGGTTCCCAAAGCCAATCAAGGGTGGCTACTCTTGAGCCTAGATCGCTGATTCCCGATTGTTGAGCGGGCTTGGCCGCGCCCGATGGAATCGCTGGAGGAGTGGCTCGGTTCAAGAAGGGTCAAGGGATTCAGACTCGTACCCCTAAGGGTGGACCCCTAAAGGTTCCCCTGAATGTACTCCCAATATGGCCCGTATATTCCCTTAGGGATCCTGAAAAAGGGACCCCAAAAACCCAAGGGTACAACCTTAAGGGTCCAAGGTAGAACCCCGAGAGAGGGAGGTTCTCAGGTTCAATGGCCTAGGAACCTTCAACCCCCGGATCCCCCTTCTCTACATCCCTGAACCCTAAACCCTGAGCCCTGAACCCTGAGCCCTAAACCCTGAACCCTAAGCCCTAAACCCTAAACCCTAAACCCTAAACCCTAACCGCACGAATTCCGAAGCGGTGCCTTCATCATGCAACTCGCACGAATCCCAAGAGACTCACCAAACGCTGTAATTGTACCAACCCCTTCGGCGAACCTGCCTTTGTGTTCTTTTTTGAGGTATGAAGGGTTGGAATGCAGCACAGAGGGTCATTTCTGGCATGTCGTCAAGCACGCACCTGCATGGTGTACTTCTCGTTTTTGGGGCATCGCATCTGCAGCTGTCCATTTGATCTTCCAATCATTCTGTTTGGGCTGCCCCGCCCCCCGCCCCCCCCTCCCTCCGGCATCGAAACTAACTTACTTCGCAGCGTCCCAAGAGGACTCAGAAGTACGCACACGATGCGATGCCAACGGCAAGACCCTAAACCTTACCCACTGAAACCCGACACCCTCTCTCATTACCCCTAAACCCTGAGCTCCCCTGCGTGACGCGCAAACCAGACAGCCAGCGAGTTCAGTAAGCAGGAAAGTTTGATTTAGCAAGGCAACTACCCTAACTTGCCTAAGCCCCGAAGCAATACTTCATGAAACATGATGGCAGGGTGGCTGCTGTTACGCAGAATCCTCAGGAGTGTTAAGTCGGGTCGAGGAGTGTATGTAGCCTTGAATCCTTTCGTCCTGAGATAGGAACGAAAGATCCTTTATACGCACTGTGAATGCGAAAGACAGTTGATTCGCAGACCGTTAAATCCACAGAGGTGTAGGAAGATCTACAGAGACGGAAAGATCTTTGAGGTCCGAAGCACTTTTGTGCACGCATTCAGGAAAGCTGGGCAATAGCAGCTAGACAATGACTCCAATGCTGACCGTCTGCTTTAAGATGTCTTTTCCGTCCTTGCAAAGGTCGAAAGGCGGACAACACGACCTAGAAAACACCGAGGATCTCTTACCAATTCCTGACTCCGAAACCTATCGCCCGCTTGGCCTGAAACCTCGCCATGTCGCGCAACTATGCGAACCCCGGAAACCCCCCCCATGCAGCACACGCAGCTGCCCGTGCGTGCCCGCACCCTCAAGCTCCCGAGGCCCCCCTACTGAGCCCTTTTCTCCAAAAAGCTTCAGCCTGCCCGTGCTCTTCAAGCTCCGGTTGCAGCTCAGGTTCGATCTCGCGAGGGAGCTGAATTTCAGGCTGCCACTGCGCTGTCGCCGCTGTAGCCCTAAGTTTGCAAGACAGCCCGGCGACGGTAGAGTAATTTTGGGTTTCGGCCCAAAAGAGCCGGCGTGTTTCAAGGTATCCCGGGTTTAGAGGGTTTTGAGGGTTGAGGAAGTTTAGGGGTTGTTCCGTGAGAGTTCGTCAGAGTGCTGGAATGTGGGGTTGCTGGGCCTCAAGAGAGGCGCTCTGGTGATAAGTGTGATAGTCGTGTGAACGCGTCCTTTTCCACCATGATGACAGTGACCTTCTAAACCTGCTTCCATCGTGACAGGTTCACAGCTTAGCCTCTCAGTAAACCCGAAACCCTAATCCCAAAACCCTAAGCTGTCTCCGGTGATTGTGAGTGGTCTTTGAGTTTTCTTGCAGCCTTCCTTGGACGCTCGAGCCAATAGAGTCCCCACACCCAAACTCAACCCCGACAGGCTCCCAGTGTTTGACCTGCTACTTCCCAAGAAGTGTATGGTTTTGAGATCTGCAAGCATGATGTCAAGCCTAAATCCTTTAACCCACCACACGCCGACATCCTCGACACCCATCAACTCTCAATGACAAACCCCAGGCCAGTAGATGAAGTGGCAGACCCGACATCACGTGCCCACATGATCCCTTGAGCTTTAGAGCTCTGCTGATGTGTTGATCGCGGTCATGCCAGCGATCCTCCTGCGCAGTGCTGCGCGGCGGTGTGGCAGGACCTTGGGTTTAGCACGTCAGGTTTGGAGGGGGCCCTGAGCTCCAGGAGGGTGGCTTTTCAGAAGTGCAGTGGCAGAGCGCAGGGGTAGAGGGACGGGTTTGGTGCCGGAAGAGGGCTGAACAAGTAACCCGAAAGCCTAAATCCCCTGAGGAATCTATCCTTACTCAAGGGGTATTGGAGTCCCTGGGAGCCACATGCAGCCAAGAGTTCGCCTTGGGAGTACCGCGACGCTGCTGGGACGACGGCGCCTGTCGTCCCAAAGCTTTCAGATCTCCAAGAAGAATGGCCCCTTCGCCTACAAAAGGGGTCGGAATCATTGCTAGTCGTATTCCCTTGCGGTCCCCTTAAAACCATACGGGAATAGCCCTCCAAGCCTTACTCTAATTGTTCAGGGCCCATTTGCCTCAGCCCCTGGGGAGTCTTACTCCAGTTTAGGGCCCCCTTTCTAGAGCTTGGACCCTACAGGTGGCAGCAGACATCGGGCTTGTGATTTAGGAGCCTTATGGTATTAGGGGTTTGGGCCAAGACTTCCAGGGTACTTGAGGCTTCAGGATTGTCAGGTCGGGGCTTCAGGGTTTGGAGCTCTGAGACAGCGATGTGTTGAACCCGAGGATTTCAGAGCGGGGCTTGTGAGTCTCACCTCCATTCTGTAGCCGTGACGGCGCAGCCGTTGTTTTAAAGACACACTTTCGTGAACATCGAACAATTTAGTCCTGGGTCTCCGGTTTTTGGGTTTCGGGGGTTCGACTGAGATTCCTAGGGCTCGCAAGCAGAGAACTCTGCACGCCTGGAAACCAAGTTGCCTGCAATCCGAGGAGAATGTATACAGTTCACGTCCACGCTTACCGACACGGACGTGCTGCTGGCGCTTTGGGATGTTAAATCTTCATGCAAAGAGGCTTAGGATTTTGCCTTCTGCGCAGTGCCGCCAAGTCTTGCTTGATAGAGTAGGGTGGAGCCCTATCTCTTGACAAAGATTCGAGATTCCCAAGACGATTCGGAGTGATAGATGCAGCTGGATGTAGATGGTTTTTCAGGGCAACTGCTGGCTGACTCCAAGAAATGCCCCAAGCCCCCTATAGCCACCGCAAGGCCCACGAAGAAGAGAGCCCTAAACTCCGGCTAGATGTGGATTTCCGAAAATCGGGGTACCCGTTTGGGGTTCCTGGAATAAGGATTACCCTAGTTTGGGGTATATTGTGGGTTTTATACGAGTTTGGGGGATATGATGGGTTTTGTACTAGTTTGGGGTATATTCTGGGTGTTATACTAGTTTGGGGTCTATTCTGGGTTAGCCCTGTTCTTGGAAAACCCCCAAATGAACCCTCCCAGTTCCGAGGCCCTGGGCGCAGCGAGCTCGGCTTTTGCACAGCACCTCCGAGACGCCGGCACACAGGGCTCCTTCGAACGAAGGGGGGGGGGTGGGCGGGGGGGTGGGGTTTGGGGTCCGGAGGTTGGGTTTGGGGTTGGGGTTGGGGGGTTGGGGTTTGGGGGTTGGGGGGGGGGGGGGGGGGGGGCATGGAGGTTTTTTTGACTTCTTTTTGTTCATGACCTCAAATAAAACTGGAGAGTGGTCCCTGGAATGCCCGCCCCCAGATAATCTTTGGCATGCCCACCGCAAAAGCAAAGAGTGCTCACCAACTTTTGTTAGCCTTCGCCTTTGTCGTGCGGAAACTGATGATGCGAGGGCTCTTGGGTGTTTTGAGGGGCCAAAACCCTAAAGCCCCTAAGCCCCCCCCCCTAAGCCCCCCTAAACCCTAAACCCTGAAGGAGGGTTCAGGCGCCATGTTGGCTTCGGGAGGCGCCAGCCCTAAGTCTAGTTGCTGATGCACCCGGCACCCCCGCCATCGCGGCGATTCGGCCCTTGGGGGGCCCCTAGAGGCGCCCTAAGGGGGGCCCGTAGACGAAGGCAAGTGGTCGCGGAAGATGCGCAGCTGGGCGCACTACTTGGCCCTGCAGCAAAGGCCCGGCTTCTGTGGGTTTTTGGGTAACCGGGGGCCTCCCAAGCAGCCCCCCCCCACCCCAACTTCCTTCAAGCTCGCGAGACAGCTGACCCCCCTGACTGTCAGGTCTGGCGAGGGCACACCCAGAGAGGAGCCCAGCAGAGAAGTTCCTGCACCTTGGGGGCAAGAACGTGGTCTCTGAGAGTGCAAGAGTGCGCTGAGGGTGTGGCGACACTTTAGGGGTTCAGGCTTTGTGAGTGATCTCGGCTGTCTTGCTGCTGAGGAGATCGATCCGCACCAGCCGGTCGTAGTGCGGGTGGACAGCAGGGAGAAGAAGCTCATCGCACCTCGGACCTTCAGCAAAAGTGAAATCGTGTGACAATCAGCCTCTAAAGCTTTCGGGGGCGCATCCGAGAGCCCAACAAATTTGAGGGAATTCTCTCGCAGACCGATGTCAGATCTCCCCAGCCTGCCCCTGAGGAGATCTTGCGGGAGTCCTCCTCCCTGACCTTTTCTGTCGAGACGTTGCGTGTTGGGGATATCATCATCGGCACCTGGCCGTACGAGAACATCTGTTCCAATTCAGCGGTGGGCTCTTGGGGTTTGTAGCCTTGTAGTTTTGGGATTCGGGTCGTGCATGTCAGAATCCCGACATTTGACTGGGGAAGTTTAGATTGCAGCAGTCCGTGCCTTCTCCCCTGAAACAGGGAAACTTTCAGCACTCTTCCCTAAACTTTGCCCACACCTTCGATGGAAGAGCAAACGCGGACGACTTTGACCAGTGCGGATTTCCACGTAGCTCGCAACAAAAAACCCTACCTCCCCGAGGCCCTAAGCTCCCCCTCCTCAAAAACGAGCTCTCCGACGAGCCTTACAGAGAAAGTGAAGGATCTACATCGAGCGCAAAGCCATCCCCGACCTGGTGCAGTCCGTCTACGACACGAGGCACGAACATCTTTTGTCACATCGAGCGAGAGAGAGAGAGAGAGAGAGAGAGAGAGAGAGAGAGAGAGAGAAGAAAAGAGAGAGAGAGAGAGAGAGAGACAGACAGGCTCCACAACCAGCTCGGGAACAAGCTCTACCACACGGACTATGAGAGGTGCGATGATTGGAAACGTCCCCCTGGGAGATGCACACCGTAAGTCTGGTAAGGTCTCGAAGGCAACCCTTTGAGGCCTCTTTTGAAGGGGATATCTTCTCCAACTTTGTTGTGGGGATTTCTTGGGGGTTCGAGAGCGGGGCGGTGCCCCTGTCAGCCCGGCCTGTGCAGAAGGGGGAAGCCTCCCCCAATCTTCCCCCCAAAGCCTTGTGTCCTTCACGCGCAGGTTCCGTGCCGTGGTGGTGCTGGAGGGCCGCTTCGAGCGGTTGAGCCAGGATGTGTCCTCAGAAACCGCTCGGAGTTTTTTTCAGGATTTGGGGGGTTGAGGGCAGTTTAAAGGCGGAGACGCGGCTTGGATGAGTAGGATGGGTGGCCCTGGTTTGGCTTCTTGTTTTCTGTGCTGTCTTTTCTCCCCACCTCGGTGTGGATTTCGGGGCACCTCCCTTCCCAGATGATGCTCGGAGTGCTCTCAGAACCATATTGGGGGTTTACGATAATTGGGGGTGCCTTATTGGGGTCCTTATTACAAGGGAATCCTACTAGTCGGGGGACTATAATGGGGGTCCGCTGCATTTACTTCTACTACTACAACACCAGCCCCCTCCACGAAATCGTGGCCCTCCTACTGTGTGTCATGGCCTCAGGCACCGCAGCAGCACCAGGACTGCACACCTGCGCTTGTTTTCGGGGTCAGGCTTGACTACTGTTTGCTTAAAAAACCCCAAAGACTAAAAAATATTCTTCTTATAAACTTATAAGGGCAAAAAGGGATTAGTGTTTTTTGGAATTATCGGGGGTTCTTAAGCCAATAGTAGTCGACAAGTTGAGGTGCAGAGGAGTGTTGTTTTCGATGCACCTGGCTGGCCGCTGCACTCGCTAAGCCCCTTTGCCCAGAAGAATGGCCCTCCTGAGAATGCGTAGGAGACCACGGGGTGCATCTACTGCATCTACCCGGCACCAATCTACAACTCTTTCGTCCTCTGAGCCCTGTGTTGACTAGGACATGGATGCAGATGCGGCGCAGCGTCTGTACCAGAGGAAGAGGCGGCTGGCGGTGGCCACAATGGTAAGGCCACTCTCTTCGTTCTGCTAGAGCGAATGCGCTGCCCGAGAGCCCCCCACGGAAAGGAATCGAGGAGTTGGGTCTCTTTGCTTCCTTCGCTTCTCTGGAGGTTTGCTCGCTGGGTTCTTGCTCTCGCTTTAAGGGACCGCCGAGAGAAGTTCGAGGGCTCGCCGGGTTTAAAGGGTTTGGGGTTTAGGGTTTAGGGTTCAGGGTTTAGGGTTTCGGGTTTAGGGTTTCGGGTTTAGGGTTTCGGGTTTAGGGTTTAGTGTTTCGGGTTTAGGGTTTCGGGTTTAGGGTTTAGGGTTTAGGATCTTCCTGAGCCGGCTCGGGCCTTGCCTCAGAGGCTCTGCGTCCGTGATCAGATCTCTGTGCTACGGGCCTACGACATGGCCGGCACCGCGGAGATCATCGGCGTCCTTGCCGAGGACGATTCAGTTTCCCAGCTGTTCCCGTGGTCCCAGTGGTCCCAGTTGTTCCAGCGACATGGGGGGGGGGGGGGGGCCACTTTCTCTGGGGTGGGGCGTGCAACCCTAAACCCTAAACCCTAAACCCTAAACCCTAAACCCTAAACCCTAAACCCTACACCCTAAACCCTAAACCCTAAACCCTAAACCCTAAACCCTAAACCCTAAACCCGAAACCCGAAACCCGAAACCCGAAAACCCGAAAACCCGAAAACCCTAAACCTACCTCTGAGGTACGCCTTCACGGGTTCAGGGTTAGGTTGCAGCATCGGAGCTCCTCCGAAGGCCTTCTCCTTTCTGATGCGCTGATAGGCCCGCGTTCTCGGACGCAGTTTGGGGGCAGACGGAACAGCTGCAGTCTGTATCTAGAGTTTTCCGAACCCCAACTAAAGTTCCCCAAAAGACAGTGGCTCCCTCCCAAAACATGAAGCGGCGCGAGGAGTACCCAAAGTTGGTCCAGTGGTCCCCGCTGCAATACAGCCAGCGCAAGGTCCGCCTGCCTCTCTGTCAAAGGGTGGGTGGGTTTTTGAGAGGAGCATTTTGAAGGAGGAGGTTTTTGTGAGGACTTGCCTTGAGGAGCTTGGAGAAGCTTAGCAATCACTCGACTCTCCCGCTACTTGGGTTTAGGCTTGGCTTCCAAAGCTTACACTCCAGACCCGCAATACTCGACTCCCACAGGCAGCCCCAATCTTAATGTCTCTAAGACTCTAAGCCTTTCAATGTCCCTTCAAGCCCCCAACCGCACGATGTGTCAACGTTTCAGGAAATAGCAGCCCTAAACCCTGAACTCCAAACCCTAAACCCTAAACCCTTCAAGGTCGAACTGCATGATCTTTTTTTCTTCTGAGAAGGGTCCACTGAGTGCAGTGCTTAGGGTTGGACACTTTTCTGGTCTTGGCGGCCATCGGCGTTGCGGCTCTCCCGCAACTTCCTAGACTTTGAAATGCTCGAAGATCTAGAAGGCTTTCAAATCGAAACCAGCCCCAAACTCCTTGAATTCTAGGGGCATCTTGTGGGGTTCGCTGGGATCACGCCGTGCTCACGCTGGGCTCACTGCAGGACAAGCCCTTCCGACCCCGTCGTGGCGAGGAGCCAAAGGCCGGCCTAATGGCTTTACAGGGCGTGAAGGCAAACAGGTTTCTGCCATTCAAAGGGAGGGCTGGCTGCTTTTGAGGGATAGGGGTGCAGCAGCCAAAACATGCTGGAGCATGGTGGAGAAACTCCGGATGAGTTCTTCCATGCGCGTCCAGGGAGGCTTTGTTGCTTGTGTCCAGGTTTGAGAGCGAAGGGCAAAGTTTGAGCTTCCATTGTAGGTAACGGCTGCCTTGAAGCCCCAAACCCTTGAGCCCTGACCTAAAAGCCCAAGTCCAAGTCCTTGCCTCCTTCAGGTTTGGAAGCTCACTCCACACCCCTCTTAAGCAACTGGACCCTAAACCCTGAACCCTAAACCCTAAACCCAAAACCCTAAACCCTAAACCCTAAACCCTAAACCCTAAACTCTAAACCCGGATGAAATCTGGGGTTTCAAATCCTGGCCAAGGATGCCCTCGTCAGCCAGCTTCGCTGCATCAGAGGCGTGTCGCAGGCATGGACGCCAAACCCTATGGCGTTTAGGGTTTAGGGTTTAGGGTTTAGGGCTTAATGAGGGTGTGATCGCTCAGCAGCCGAACTCCGCCTCCAGGGGCTCGCAGCAAATTCTGTCCTCTTGGATTTGGGGGCGCTCGGGCTTTGAAGGTTTGGGGTTTGCAACAAACTCACTGCTTTGCTGTCGTGCCAGGAATCGGCACGCCATGTTGCAGGAAGGCATCCGACGATGAAGAGCTTTCTGGAGGAGAGGGGTTCAGGTTTTTGGAGGTTGATCCTTGAGGGCCGCTTTTCCCTGAAACAACTTTTGAGCCTATCATGCTTCTTGGTGGCTTGCTTTTGTTATTCTTCTTGTTCTTCTCCTTGTTTGGGTTGCCGCTGTTGCTGCTGGTGGCGGTGCTGGTGCTGGCGCTGGCGCTGGTGCTGGTGTTGGCGCTGGCGCTGGTGCTGGTGCTGGTGTTGCCTGTTCCAATCATCGTGTTAAGACGCGAAGCCCAGCTCGCAACAGGTTCTGCCTCAAAGGGGGTCATTAACCATTGCCTGGTCGGGGTTTGTCCAAGCCACGAGCCAGAAATGAAGAAGGCCACGGACTTATCCGACCCAAGAGGCAGAAAGGGGAAAGGGAGCGATGAAGGGAACCACAGCGGGAGCCCATGAAGGGAGCCCAAGTTTCGTCACCACGGCCCAACCATCTGGCCACCGCGGCCTGCTTCTCTTTGAGGAAGGAACCTCAGAGGCCCCCAAACCGTACCCTACCAATTTGCTTAAGAATCCCCCCCCAAAAAGGATTCTTCCTGAGAAAGGGAACATAGGGATTATTATTTTGCACGCAACGTGGATCGCCCGCAACGTGCGGAGTGAGTGCGCGAGTGAGCGTGTCTGTGGTTTTTTGTTGTGGCTGTTGTGGTTGTTGTGGTAGTGTTTGTGATGCTGGTTCAGGTTGTGATTGTGATTCCTTGCTTTTTGTTTTGGGCGGCGGTGGTGTGAGCCCTTGCCTGTTGTTGGGGGAAGGTGTGGCGGAGAGTCGATCAGCCTGAAACTCGAAGCCGCGGATAAGGTGTCTTTGTGTCTTTTGGGTTCATAAGTCTTCATGTTCAGGGCTAAGCTTGAGGTGAAGAGAACAAGGTTTGCTCCCGCCATGAAAAGCCAGTGTGGGACGACACACCACACCTGGGCGGGCTGCGTGCACAGCAGCCAACCCACCCCAAAGTGTAGGGTTTAGGGTTTAGGGTTCAGGGTTCAGGGTTCAGGGTTTAGGGTTTAGGGTTTAGGGTTTAGGGTATGGGTTTAAGGTTTAAGGTTTAGGGTTTAGGGTTTAGGGTTTAGGGTTTAGGGTTTAGGGTTTAGGGTCTAGGGTCTAGGGTCTAGGGTTTCGGGCAATATCCAGAGGACATAGGTGAATTTGGCTTGGCCGGCGTGGCCCTTTTGGATTCAGAAGATCATGGCCAAATTTTCGGAAAAGCCCCCGCGCCAAACCCAAACCCGGGGCCAGAAAGTGCCTGCCCTGGGGCGTCCTGTGGAGTCCTGGTGACAAATTCGGTTGCGTGCAGGCTCCTTGTTTTTGAAGCTCGCAGTCAATAGCCCAGCAGCCAGAGTTTGGGGCTCTTTTGAGACGTTCGGGCTGGGCTTTCTCACAAGCCCCGAACCTTCTCGAATCCGTAAAGTATCCATCAGCTGCCTGTAACCCTAAACCCTAAACCCTAAACCCTAAACCCTAAACCCTGTAGCCCTCAAGTCAGTCCTTAACTCTTGCAACTCAGAGCCTAAAGAGTCTGGCTGCAAGCTGCGCAGGCTTTGTCTGCCGAAAAGGATCCTGTGCAACTTGGACTGCATTCAGGGGGATGAAAAGTGCGCCCTAAGCCCTAAACCCTAAACCCCAAACCCTAAACCCTTTACCCTAAACCCTAAACACGTAGCTCTCCCAGCATGAGAGGGACCCTTGGTCGGGGCTTGCTTTCAGTTTCTGGGGGCATGTTGCCCACTACGTCAGATACATGTTGCACCTAATCCCAAACAGAAATGTTGATCCCCGAAAACAGCCTGAGAGTCGCCAAACCCCACTAAAAGAGATTTGCAAGGCAGTGGCTGATGAGCAACGGCACCTTCGAGAAGATCAGTATGGTGTTTTGGTTCCGCGACCAATTCTCCAGCCCTCGACCCAAGTGCAATAAGACACACAGCAGAACGAGAATGCCCGGAGACTCTTGAGGCTCTTGTGGGGTGCCGGTGGCGGCATGTTGAATCGCAACCCTGACCCCTTCCGCAGGGCTCTACCAAGATACGCTGCCCACAAGCATGCAGATGATGCGATGCTGCCCCAAAGCACCCGAAGCTCTTTGTGTACAAGTGTGCTGGCAGGCTTGCGCTCTCGACCCACCGCCGCACTGCTTGTGGAGGCACTGATGGGTGAGGCCGGAGCATCTTCGAAAGCACCCGCTGACCCTGGTTGACAGCCCCAGGTTCTGGTGTCTTTGTTCCAATCCCGAACGATTGGAACATAGCAGATTGGAACATAGCAGTTGCTCCGAAGTCGTTTGTTGAGAGGTTTGGGCTTTGAAGCTCCTCGGCAGCCGGGGCTCCGCAATTGAAGCCCCTGAGCCCCACCTGAGCTCTTCTGCAGGAGGCGTTGCAGCAGGAGAACTTCCTGAACACGCTGAAGGCCGGTCGGGTGGCCCCTTCCAACATCTAAGTCGGCGACAGCCGACTGTTGAGGTCGGGCGGGTGGAAAAACAAGGGGCCCCCCGATGGTCAAACAGTGCCTCTTCCAACATCTGAGGTCGGGCGTGTGACGCTGATCAGAAAAACACTGGGTTCGAGAATTGCGGCTGTCGAGTGCCACTTTCGACAGCTTCGAGAAAGGTGACGATGACGCATCGGTAGAAGTGAAGGTAGCGTTTCATCAGGGGCAGCGTCGTCACTGGTGTTAAGCACTCACCTAGGTTGCAAGAATGGAGTCCAGGAGCACCAGCGTCATGAACGGTCATCAAACATCGCAGCTCACAGAAAAACACCAACGCTTCAGGAAAGAAGCTCATGGATGGAAACCTAAAACCCAGAAATTTGAACCCTCAGCGCCAAACTCCAAACATCCCTGAGCCTGATATTCATAGAATTACACATGCTGAGATTATATTAACTATATTATTCGAAGTACACATGCTGATATTATTAAAAACTATATGATGAGCCCTTTAAGGCCTTCGAAGCCCGAGCGCCAACCCTTGCGAAAGCTTCAGCCATCCTCCCAGGGCCTGAAGGGCGTGAGTGCTGCCGTTGCAGCCGCCCTGGCGCAGCACTTCGGCACGGCGCACGCCATGCAGCTCGGGGAGAGTTCATGAGATTGCTTTGGGGGGCTTTTTTTTGGGGCTTCTGGGCTCGCACGCTTTTGGGGCTTGGGGGCCGCTTTTAGGGTTTGAGGGGGGTTTGGGCTTTTATACCGTTTCGCGCTTTGCGAGCAAATGGGAGCTTGGTCTGAGACTGCCCTGAAGAGTCCTGAAACCAACTAAGGCAGGAGGCGCTGAAAGGCAGGGACTGGGTGTCGCGTCGAGGGCCGGTTTGCAGGGTTTACAGGAGCTCACCTGACCTCCCACCCCCCAGTTAGTTCACATAATTTTGCTGCTTGGACGTGAGTAAGGACCAGTGCTTGACCAGGTTCAGTGCGAAGTAGTCTTAGATCGTACCAGCCTGCTAGACTAGGCATTAGTGCCCGTCCAATGTTGAACGGAACGTGCCGCGACCTCATCTCGACGGAAGTTGGACAAGCCACATAGTCACAATCACCCTGTCTGCGGATGAATACATGTCAACCTGCCTGTAACCGGCAGCAAGAAGTCATCAACTTCGTTGCGCAGAACACTTCAGCATCGGCGGTCTCATTTTGATGCCAACAGCCGCTCCGTGCACCGCGAGTCTCCTTCCAAGACGAAAGGCGAAGATGCATGGAAGGTCCCTGAACAGCTTTCGGGTTAGGGTTTAGGGTTTAGGGTTTAGGGTTTAGGGTTTAGGGTATAGGGTTTAGGGTTTAGGGTTTAGGGTTTAGGGTTTAGGGTTTTAGGGTTTAGGGTTTAGGGTTTAGGGTTTAGGGTTTAGGGTTTAGGGTTTAGGGTTTAGGGCTTAGGGTTTAGGGTTTAGGGTTCAGGGTTCAGGGTTCAGGGCAGGGTTCAGGGTTCAGGCTTTACGGTGTAGGGGTCATTGAATGATTCCCCTACGGCAGCAGACGCGGCAAGCGCAGGGCAACGCTCAGCTTGAAGAATCAAGCTGCGTGCCGAATTGAAACAACTCTGCTACCAGAAAGTGAAAAACCCCTGACGTCTGCCCGAAGCCCCATGGGTGCCAAAAGGCTTCAATCCGACCACCTTTTTTGGCATCTCAGATCTCTCAGACCTCTCAAAGCTCTCAGAGCCCGAGATCCCCCCTCAAACCACCCCGAGACCAATTGCCCCAAGATTGGGATGTTCCCTCTTATACTGATGGTCCTTAATAGGGTTTAGAGTACCCCCTACTATAATCCCTATAAAGCATTGTTAGTCTAAGGGGGCATATTCCAGCCCCAAGACCAATTTCCCCAAAAACCCTTAAAACCACTAAAGCCCTAAAACCCTAAGACCCTAAAACCCTAAGACCCTAAGACCCTAAGACCCTAAGACCCTAAGACCCTAAGACCCTAAGACCCTAAAACCCTAAAACCCTAAAACCCTAAAACCCTAAAACCCTAAAACCCTAAAACCCTAAAACCCTAACACCCTAAAACCCTAAAACCCTAAAACCCTAAAACCCTAAAACCCTAACACCCTAACACCCTAAAACCCTAAAACCCTAAAACCCTAAAACCCTAAAACCCTAAAACCCTAAAACCCTAAAACCCTAAAACCCTAAAACCCTAAACCCTAAACTCTAAACCTCCAAACACGAGAAGCAGGTTCAAGGGCTCCCCAATGCGCCTTGCGATCAGGTGCCGCCGACCCGGCCGCAGTGCTGGAGGCCGCCATCCCCGTAAAGCAGGGGCCCCGGCTCGTCCAGAAGCGGCCACGGAGAAGGATGGTTTAGGGTCTAGGGTTTAGGGTTCAGGGTTTAGGGTTTAGGGTTTTGGGATTAGGGTTTATCGGTTCAGGGTTTGGGGTTTAGGGTTTAGGGTCAAGGCTGGGTCCGGGGAGTCGCCTTGTTGTGTGATCAGGAAAGCTTTCTTGAGGGGCCCCTTGAAGACTTTGTGTTTCGTGTTGCGTTGCGCTCTTTTTGGTTTGCCTCTTGCCCCCGCCCCTCGCCGCCCCCGTGAGAGGCTCCCCCCCTCGGGGCGCGCAGCGCTTGAGGAAGCCTTCGGCGGCGAGGCGCGGCTCCACTCCAAACTTTCAAGCCTCTCCATGAAAGCAAGAAGGCTGCTTGGGGTTCAGGGCGGTTTCGGGCGGCTTTTCAACTGTTTTGGCGGCTCGAATGGCGGCTTCAGGTCGAGAGGTTGAAGGGCTGGAAGCAAGCTGCATACCTTTCAGGCCCAACCCCTATCTCTGTCTGTTTTGCCCGAAGCCACATCTGCCCCAACCCAAAATATACTCCCTAGCCCCCCAAATGCCAAGGGCCAGTTTCTTTTTTCTCCACCCCCCATCCACCCAGCTTTGTTGCTCCCCTTCCCCCCGTTTTTGTAACGCTGCCCCAGCAATTTGTCCAACCTGTGGCTGCTTTGGTCCACTCGTATTGTCGGAGGCGAAAGCACATCTGTTCCCAATCCCAAAGCCCCAAGGCCATGAACCCGCATTCCTATAGAGGAACAACGGAAAAGAAGGGGAACTCTGCAACCCTAAACCCTAAACCCTAGAACCGAGAGCCTCGGGAAGGCGTCCAGGGAGGCGCGTGCCCTACGCGCGCGGCTCCGGGCGGTGAAGGGCATCGGGCCGACGGCGGCCAACAGGCTCTCGGACCTCCTGGGGGGGCCCAAAGCCTCCCAAACTTTAGGTGCCGTTTTGATGATTTCTCGCCCTAAGAACATCCTGAAGCCTGAAAGCATCCTAACAGCATCCTCAGAGCATCCTCTCAGCATCCTAAAGGCATCGTAAAAGCCTCCTCAAAGCCCTAAGCTTCACGCTCTGGGGCTCCCGGGGATGGGCGCCGTGCCCCTGAGGCTGGTGGAGAGCTTTCCGAGCGAGGCCGCGCTGGCGAAGGCCCCACGGACGAAGGGTTTAGGGTTTAGGGTTTAGGGGTTAGGGTTTAGGGTTTAGGGTTTAGGGTTTAGGGTTTAGGGTTTAGGGTTTAGGGTTTAGGGTTTAGGGAAGCCCCCAGAAGTGGGGTCCAGATTCCTGGAATATCCCTCCAAACAGCTCTCAGCCTTCGTGCCATACGTCTTAAAAAGGTGCGCAAACATCGTCGGTACCGCCGAAAAATATGCGGCACATGCCAGGAATCACGTTCACGAGTTTGAAGTTGCAAAAGAGTCAAGTATGTAGATGGTAGAGGTGGAACCAAAGCTCGTTGTGTCTGTACACTGACCCCAGACCGTAAGAGCACACCGCAACGGGGGGTGCACATGAGCCCTGAAACAGCCCCACGGCCCAGAAAACATTCGCATCTCTCCAGCTCTCCAGCCCTAAGACTGCAACCACGCAAAGCCAGAAGCCCAAACCCCCCGGACTCTAAACTCCAAACCTCAACTTGCCCCAAAACCTTCAACCGCCCGGAGAACAAAAGAGTTTCGAAGAACAGAAGTAAAACCAACAACCTGCCCCCCATTTTCTTCTGGGACCTGTCTACTTCAGGCGCTGCTGAGCTCCCCAGTAGCTGCGGATCCTGCCGGCCGCGCCATGGCCCCCCTGAACGGATCTGGCAGCTTCAGGGTTCGGAGGTTTTAGTTGGGGTTTTAGGGTTTTAGGGTTTTAGGGTTTCAGGGTTTCAGGGTTTCAGGTTTTAAGGGTTTAAGATTTTAAGATTTTAGGGTTTTAGGGTTTTAGGTTTTGGTCCCAGGAGTTCAGATTTCAGGCTGCAAGTTTGGGTTTGGGGTCTAGGGTTCACGGCCAGGGTGCCAGGGGAGGGAACAAACCCCTTGTGTTCCAAGCTAAAACTGTCCGAAACCCCAAACCCTAAACCCTAAACCCTAAACCCTAAACTCTAAACCCGAAACCCTATATAAATCCTAAACCCTGAACCCTTTAAACCATGGACCCTCAAAGGCCCTAAGCCCTAAACCTTGAACCTTGAACCCTGAAGAAACCAAAACCTGAAACCCTAAACCCTACTACTGTAGACCCTAAAACACTACCCAACCAGCCGGAAGCCTGATTGTTCGTTACCGGGCGCATGTTGTCAGAGCCAAGGCTTTGGCACCAATCCGCTCGCGACCAGCTGCCATGAGGCAAGACAGAATCCCTAAACCCTAAGCCCGAAACCCTAAGCCCTAAACTCTAAACCCTAAACCCTAAACCCTAGACCCTAAACCCTAAACCCTAAACCCTAAACCCTAAACCCGAAACCCTAAACCCTAAACCCTAAAAAAACCACTTCGAAGAGGTTGGTGGCCGCTTTCCTGGATGGCCGGGCTTTGGAGGAGAGTAGCCTCATCGACGCCTTGAGGAGGCGCTGTGCCTTCAGGTCTTCTTTAAAGGAGGGGGGTTAGGGTTCAGGGTTGAGGGTTTAGGGTTTAGGGTTTAGGGTTTAGGATTTAGGGTTTCTGGCGTGTTCTTCGGTCATTTGCGCGTCTTCTTCGGTGATTGCAGTCAGGTCTTAGAAATCCCGAAGGCGCTTCAAGAACGCTTTGCGTGGTGTCGGAAAGTTTTAGAACGCTGTGAGCGGCATGTTGGATTACCCGCACGGTCTGCTCGCACGCAAGTTCCATGAGATGCCCAGCCATGGATGGAGCAACCGCAATTGTGTGTGTGTGTGTGTGTGTGTGTGTGTGTGTGTGTGTGTGTGTGTGTGTGTGTGTGTGTGTGTTTGTGTTTTTTGTCCGGCGTCATGGCCCGCTTCATCGGAGTACTTGGGTGCAAAACATGAACGCGAAACCTTCGACGAAGGAACGTGCCTTCGAGACGCAATGCAGTTAAGGTTTTCGGCAAATGACCGAACCACACGGACACGAGTGTACTGCTCAGGCTTCTGGGCTGGGGGCTTCCGGAGTCATTCCTGGGCACGCGAGTACCTCAGAACTTCGTCCCGAAACCGATAAGGATGTCCCTGGCAGGTCGGGGATCGCCAGTGGCAGAGCTGCCGAGCTCGTGGCCTCCGTCAAGGGCAGAAGCAGAAGGCGCTGTAGGGTGCGGGTTGGAGGTTCAGGGGCTCAAAATTCGAGGGTCTTGAGGGCTCAGGGGTTTTATGGGTCCGTTTGATGAGGTGGTCCTGTGGCCCCCCCCCCCCCCTCCCGAAATAGGTCATCTGCAATCCTACATTTACAATTGACAAATTATTACAGGAATCTCCTTAGGGTTACATTCTGCTACATTATTTTTTCTTCAGCGTATTTTCTTTTTTCTTTTTAAACAGAGAAATACGGATGGTGGATGATTTTTGCGTTGTCTTCATTCTAATGGTGTACTATTTTTGTCTTTCTTTCCATATTTTCCAAGAGCAAGCATTCTCAGCCTTACCAACCAATGCCTCACTTGACAGGCCATGAGAGCTGAGAAATATATCTGGATCATGATTGGTTCCCCAAAAACCCCCAGCAGACGACGGATTTGATTAGGATTCAGCAGGTAGTGAAAA